TGGGGGCTGTGTCCAGGGAAACACAGGAAGCCAGCGACCACTGGGAGCCCGGGGCTGCTCCTCCAGCCATGCACGGTTCCCCCCCTCGAGGGCGAGGGCTGGTTGTGAGTGCACCGGCCGCAAAGGCCGCCAGGAAAGGCCAACCCTGCGGGCTCCCAGGGACTGCTGCGGGGGTCAGCCGGGTGAGCTCCAGCCCTGCCACTTACCTGTGTGAGGCCCTGTGAGATCTTGGGTAAACTACCCCAGCTCTCTCAGCCTCGGTTCCTAATCTGCCAGACGGAAGCCGTCAGCAGTCCCCGAGGGCTGCAGCGCCCAGAAGACGAGATAATGTACGGGAAGCCTTCAGTAAGTGGCGGCCCACACCATCAGCGCCAGCAGGATCCGGGACTCTGGCTGTGTGACCTCAGGCCACCGATCCCCTCCCTGCCCGCTGGCCCCTGTGAGCCGCCACAGTCAGAACCCAGGTTCAGGGATTCCATTTCCATGCCGCCTGTGTTCTGTTTGCTTTCATGGAGATACTGAAAGTCCCCTGTCGGACCCACTCCCCCATCCTTCTGCCCATCGGGACCCGCTGTTCATTCCACAGGGATGTCCTCGGCGCCCGCCCTGTGCCTGGCTCCGCGCTGAGCCTCGAGGACAAGCGTGCAGCGGCCAGCTGTCCCCAGGGAGCAGGCCTGCAGGTTGGGAGACACCTCCTCGCCCCTCCACCATCACAAGGCCTCAGCACGGGCTACTTCTACTCTGCTCCCATTGCAAGAGGAGGGGCGTCCCCCAGAACCACGCACACAGGCAGTACTGAGACCACTCGGCTTGGCTCCCCAGTTGGGGTCCACGGAACAGCCCGACTGCTCAGAAACTACTGTCCCAGAAGCTAGAGAGCACCTCTCGGCAGGCAGAGTTCTTAAGTAAACACACATGCAATCGGATCGTTCACAGGGAGCCTGCTGCACGCCCCACCATGAGCCCAAGTCCAAGGTCCCGGCTCGGACCTGGAGCCCGTGATCCCCGGAGGGGAGCGCAGCAGCCCACACCTGGCCTCCCGTCAGAGAGGCCCCGGGTCTAGTCTCCGCTCTGAATGAACTCACGCTATCTATACGAAACCTTGGCCACCTGGCCGTTCTGAGCCTCAGTTTCCCACCCGTGTCATGGGTAATGACAGTGTCCACTTCCTAGGGACAGGAGGAGTACATGGGCCTGGGTGTTTGGCCCAGTGCCTGGTACACAGTAAACAGCCTCGTTATTGTCACTGTTATTTGTGGCTATGTTATCATCATCATCATCTGATCACAGCTGTGTCCTATCGAGGAAAGGAAAAGGACCACCAGTTAGCTGAGTGCCTTTAAGGCTGCCTTCACCCAGCAGCAGAGGCTCACTCCTTGGGAGTGTCGAGCAGGGTGGCCCAACCCTAAAACTCACCGCACAGGCCTCAACGTAACACGCCCAGCCACGCCAGCCGCTCTGTTTACCCCGTAGCAGCCTGGCTTCCTCCTCTGGGCAGCCCAGCCCAGCAGGCCAAGGGACCGGGAAGTCCACGGGCCTGAACACCAGAGGCAGACCCAGCACCCCGGACCTCACCGCTAACCAGCCTCAAGTGTCCCTGTAACCACCCCCCTGGCAGGTGTAATCCCCTTCCCTGCGCAGACTCCCAGGGTTGGCAAGAGCCAGACCAAACCCAGGTCTGTCTGGTTCCCAGAGGGCAGGGCCCAACCAGCTCCTAAAACCAGACCTATACCAGGACCCAGAATAACAACAGCAAATACGTTCGGAGCAGCCAGGATGTGCCGGCCAGACTAAGCACTGGATAAATGCTAACTTGTGCACGCCATTTGCAGAGCCCATTTTACTAGTTAACTCGTGCACGCCCCTTGCAGCGCCCATTTTACTAGTTAACTCGTGCACGCCCCTTGCAGAGCCCATTTTACTAGTTAACTCGTGCACACCCATTGCAGCGCCCATTTTACTAGTTAACTCGTGCACGCCCCTTGCAGAGCCCATTTTACTAGTTAACTCGTGCACGCCCATTGCAGCGCCGATTTTACTAGTTAAGAAAGTGAGGCTGGGAACTGGAAGCCACTTGCCCAGGGGCACCCAGCTAGTGAGTAGCAGAGCAAGACCTGAAGCCAGTTCTGTGGCTCAGACCCCGAGCTCCCAGGCCCTCGGAGGCCCGGCCCCCAGCCCTCACTGTACCCACCGCGCTCCGGCCACCAGCTGGGAAGTGGGGGTTCTGACTGGCGCTGCCACCCTCCCTCCAGGAGCCCTGATAGCAGGGAGGTCCCTGTGCGGCGGCAGCTCTGCGTGGACCTGGGTGGTTGGTTACTCTCTGCCTGCACTGTCCAGAGCCTCTTGGGAGGTGAGGTGGGCACCCAGGCACAGCCACAAGGCCATTCCCAAACCTGGGGCAGCGGCCGTGGAAGAGCACTTGTGACAGGTGAGATGCCCTCCACTGGAAGATTTGTTTTTCAAAAGCAGAGTTTGCTTGGTGGCTACCTTTAGGGAAGTTTCAAAAGAAAATCAAGATTTTTTTCCTGTCTCTTGGGTAAGAAGGAGGAGGAAACTGATCTGGATAGATTCGCCTCCCAGAGGACTCGCGAGTGGAAAATCACCGCCCCGGGAAGGAGCTGGAACGCAGGGAAATGAAGACCTGGACGGGAGGGAACGGAGCTGGGAGAAGGTGGAGAGCACTGGACGAGGAGTCAGGAGGCCCCCACGTCCCGGGGGGCAAGTGCCGCCCCACAGCCTCCCCCTGAATAAAACCAGAGGGCTGGAACGGGGCCTCTTCGGACTCCTGCTGTGGTCAGTGCTCCTCGGGGTCTCCCGTCCCACCCAAGGGTGACCTTTATTCACGCCTGTTGCTGGTGAGACGCCAGCCCTGGCCATCCAGGCCCAGCCCAAGGCAGTGGGCGCACCGTCTCTGCCCCTCCGGCCCGTCACACTGGAATCCTCCACACTGGACCGGAGGTGGGGGCAGAAGCAAACACACTGTGTGTGTGTGTGTGTGTGTGTGTGTGTGTGTGTGTGTGTCCGTCTCACTTATTCCTCAGGACGCTTCAAGCTGGATGGTATTATGTCCACCTTATTCATGGGGTAACTGGGACTCAAAGAGTTTCACGGGCAGCCCAAAGCCACCCAGCTAGGGAGGGGCTGAGCGGGGACTTGAACCTGCAGGCCTCCGGCACTGGAGTCTCCTGGAGATGGCGTTCAAGGGCGCTCAGGTTGTAGGACTAGAGGCTGCCGCGGGGCGGCAGACAGAGGGACTGGGCCTTTTTCGGGAACTCCCGGGCCCCGCTGAGCTGCCCTGACCGGTGGGCTGATGAAAACAGCGTACTAGGCAGCAGCTCTGGGACCGGTGGGTCACAGCCTCTGTGGGGCCCCAGCACCAGACACACAGTCTAGCTGCGGATTCATGGGGTCCCCAGGACACATGGAGGGGAGGCAGGCAGGGGAGGCAGGCAGGGGAGGCAGGCAGGGCAGGCGCTGGGTTGCTGTGCTCCTGACCTCAAGGTTGGGAATGGGGGTGTCTGGGAGACTGGCCCTGGGTGGGGGCGCGCACCTCCGGCCTCAGTCACCTCCACCATATGGACGCCCCTCCCATTCCTGCCCCCGGCCCCACCAGTGAATTTACGCTCATTCACTCAGCCAAGAACCCCTCCGGCTTCCCTGGGGCCAGCGCCTCAGTGCCCTGGGCACTCCTGTGAAGTGTCCACCAGACTGGGAGCTGTGCTCCCAGCCCACCTGGAGGGCTATAATCCCGGGAGATCACAGCCATCTCTGGGACTCCCCAGTCCCAGAAAAGGCCTGCTGATTCATTTCTGGTCCCTAATCAGGGCGGAGAAGCTGACTCCCACTTGGGGCCTTAATTACACAGGGCCTGCCCACTCCAGGCGACAAATGAACACGTACAAGGACTTGCAGGGACACAGATTTGAATCCAGGACCACCTCCTGCTCCAGGGGCCCAGGGCCACATCTGCCTCTGGGAGGCCTCCTGCTGGGCAACAGCTACCTGAGAATTAGTCACGCCCCCCCCCTCACTTGGAGGACAAAGGGAGTCTCAACACCCGCCCCCCCACCAGGATGGCTGCCCCTGGCCACACGCCCCAGGGCCTAGATCCCCCACTAGCACTTACCTTGGATGAGGGTTCCCTAAGTGCCGTCCGAGTCCCCCAGAGACAGGCAGTGAGCAGCAGGCCCCCAGCCCCCAAATGCACCACGCAGCCCAGGCTGACTTGCTGAAGACCCCAGAGGGAAAGGTCAGGGCCTTGACCCGGGGCCTGCTGCGACTCTGGGCCTCTTACCCCACAGCGCGCTCTGCTAGGAAGGGAACAGTGGCCCATTTTACAGATGAGAAACACCAAGGCCCAGAGGACCGTGACTTACACAAGGACCCACCGCCAGTGCTGGGGCCAGTGTCAGACGCAGGCAATCACCCCCAAATCCAGGCTTTTGACCATTAGGCTACCCTGCCCCAGACAGGCTCCCAGCGGGAGAGGGACAGGGTCCCTGACAGCCGTCACAGGAATGGGGACGGTATTGGCAGAACCGACGGCGACGGTGAAGACGGCTGGGCCAGGCAGGCACCGCGCTGAACCCCAGAGAGCCGGCTCGTTCTCGGCCACAGCCCGGTGGGCTGCGGACTTGGCTGTCTCCGTTTGGCATGGGAACAGACTTATCTTTGGAGAACTCATACGACTTCTCAAGCCGTGCAGCTAGTAGCAAGGGGCAGAGCCAGGTCTGGGAGCTAGTTCTGCCTCCTGCTATTTCACAGGCTTTCACCGATCCAAGTGGATCAGTGAGGCAACAGAAAGAAAGAAAGACGTAACATGAGTTTTAGGGACTGACCTCTTCCCTCGGGCCCGGAGATCTGGAAATGCGTTCCTCCGTAGCCTAAGACCTGCCGTGAGCCCTTTCGGCTGCAGCTCCACCCTTTCCCACACCTCCTGCCCAGCGTGTCTCCTCTTTTCCCAGCCACCAAAACACACGCGAGGAAGAAGGCTCACTTACTGCGTCTGGGGCAGCGCGGCCGCGGGGTCTGGGTCTGCGGGGAAGAGCAGGAGGAGAGCCCGTCAGGCGGGAGGCTGGCCCAGTGGACTCCCCGGGGTGCAGGAGACAGGGCCCAGCCGGCAGAGCCTGCCTCCCTTCCCCCGGCCTCTTCGCTGTCATCAAGCTCCCCTACCTGTCCTGCCTGCACCGCCCCCGCCCCCACCCCCACGGCCCACATCCCAACTCCAGCCAGAACCAGCAGCCCTGCCTGCCCTGGGCCTGCCCCCCACCCCCAGCTCCTCAAGGAGTCCCTTGTCCCCAAGCAAGCACGCAGGAAGTTCCTGCTAGTCTGGTCCCCAGCCTCTCCCCGGGGACAGGCTCAAGAGCCCAGAAGCTGCCATTTAACACCACCCTTATCGTGGCCTTCCCGCCCCCAGGGCCGGGGACTCGCCAATCCTCGGGGAGGCTGCTTCTCTGGCTGGTGTGATTCCCTGGGAGAAGCTGGGGGGGTGGGAGGGGGGCCACTTCCATTTACTATGTGCCAAAGCGCACCAGATGCTGCAGGAATGCTAGGAATCCTAGTTCCCAGGGGAGGCAGAAGAATGCAGCTCCTTCCCAATGGCTTCTCCCTCCCTGCTTCCTGGGGACAGCAGAGGGACCAGAGGCATCCCGGGGAGCCCGGAGCGTCCCCCCACACCCAGAGGCCTGGGAACGGGAGGACCCAAGGCTCCCAGAGCACCTTACCAGTGACAGGGGCGGAGTCCAAGTGGATCAGTGGGGCATCTGCATCCTTCTCTGGAGCAACAACGCTTGGGACGCCCAGGCCGGCGCTGGTGTCCTCGTCATCGTCACTGTCGTCAAACTCAAAGGCCTCTCCAGGGTCGTCCTCCGCCTCTGAGGAGGGGCCTAGGCCTCCTTCAGGAAGCTGATCTCCTGGAAGGTAGGAGGAGTTATTAGCAGGGCTGCAGGGTCTCAGGATCTGGCCAGGCGAGAGATGGCTGAAAATGGGCGAGCAGCTCTGCGGGTCTGAGCAAGGGATCGAGGGCAGTGCCCAGGCCTGAGGGCCCTCCTGTGCCCCCAGGGGTGCTGTGGCTGGGTTCGAGGGCTAAGCAGGGCAGCACGTGGAGAGGAGGAAGGAGCAATGAGGTGCTCCGTGGTGCACATGCGCCCATCTGTACTTGAGTGCATGTCTTTCATATTCTTGTCTCCTATTTCCCTATTTTGTCAGCAAAGGGGCTTTTTAAATGCATGTGTGTGTGCGTGCGTGCAAGTACATGCACATGCATTTCTGTGCGTGCATACACGGCTGTGTGTTTTGCACGTGTGCAAACGAGCACGTGCAGGCTCATTCTGCACGCTGCACTTTACTCGGCCCTCAAGGCGGCATAAAACACAGCTGCCCGGAAGCGTCTGGAGTGAGGGGACCAGCTCTCAGGGGCCAGGGTGCAGACTGGCTGGGGAGGGGCAGGGCAGGGTGGGCACGCTCCCAGCATGGAGTTCCACCCAGTGCGCCTCACGCCCTGTTCCTCCCTCCTCGGAGACCCCCTCCATGGCCCTGTCTCCCACTGGCCCTCAAAGCTCAAGTCAAGCAAAGACACTCCCAGGCCCCTCCCCCAGCCGCTACCCTAACTAAATGAGGTCCTGTCTTCCTTCTCTGGGATCCCTTGTTTTCTTCGTCTGTGCACGAGGAAGGATATGTTTGGTGCCTGTTTGGGGACAGGTCCTGGCCTGGCCCCAAGTTGGAGCCCTGCAACTTTCGTAAACGAGTGAAGAAAGAGATTCTCTATCCGGAAGCCTAACAAGCCCTCACCTCTCCAGCCATTTCTCCCAGCTGAGGTCCCCGGTCTTCTTCCCCAGAATCTGGAGCAGGACAGAACCTCAAGCGTCCACTAAGCCCATCCCCCTCCCTCCTACAAACCTGCTCCCCATCAAAGGGCAGTGTGGTCTGGCTGTAAAAGTCCCCGAGGCTGACCCCCGTCCTGGGCCTGCCCTGGGCGGTCCTACTGCAGCTCAGACCACACGGCTGAGGGTGTGAGCTTTGCGCTCAGCCCGTCCTGTCTGGGCCCCCTTCCAGCTGTGTGTTCTGAACAAGTCACTTCGCCTCTCTGAGCCTCGAGTGCCTCCCCTGTAAGCTGGAGAATAAAAGCAGCCCCTGCCCCATGCGGCCGCTGTGCACGTGCACCGAGAGGCGGGTCGGTCTCTCAGCCTCGCCACCATCCACGTGGAGGCTGCGTGGTCTTTGCTGGGGGCCGGGGGGGACACGGTGGGTTTCGTAGTAGCACTCCTGGCCTCCGCCCAGGAGAAGCCAGTAGAACCCTCTGGCTCTGACAACCAAAAATGTCTCCAGATACTGGCAAGTGTGCCCTGGGGGACAAAACTGCCCCTACCTGAGAACTGCCGGATAGACAGAAGGCTTGGCGAAGTGCCTGGTATTCGGGTTACGTAACCTGACCTGGTGTTGCAACCACCGCCCCTCCCAGCCTGCGATCCTCGAGGACAGGCCTGTCCGGTCCAGGTGTGCTCACAGCTGGATGATGAGGCGGATGGAGCAGAGAGATGGGTGGGTGGACCCACAGACGGACAGATGGACAGGTCCGATTCCAGCAGTCTCTCTGGCCAGAAAAATCCAGTCTCTCCCCCACAGGTGACCTGAGGCCTCCAGAGCAGAACATTTTAGGGGCGAATGTATCAAATTCAAAAAGCCCCTTCCTCTGCTGCTTGGCTGCAACAGAAACCCGGAGCTCTCACCCTCCCCCCAACTTCCCCTGCGGGGTGAGGACCAGATGGAGGCCATTGAGGCGGGAACCCGGCCCCTCCCGGGAGCTCTGGGGGCCCCATGGGTCAGCATCGGCAGGTGGACCCCTCCGGGCAGCGCTGCGCCCGACACGGAGTGCCCTCCCCGGGAGGGGAGAAATGAGCACGGTGCAGAGCCTGAAATGCACCCCGCGGAGCTCCCTGTGTAAGCCTCACGACCACCCCCGGTTCACGCAGCGAGGCCACAGAGCCATCCAGAGTGCCAGTGGCACGCCCTCTGTCACACGGCTAGTAAGTGGGGAGCTGCATTTGCACCCAGATCTGGCTCCGCTCACGCCCCACACTCTTTCCACTGGGCCCCGCTGCCTCGTCCGTGAACCTGCGGCCACCTGGCCCGGGGATGATGCGCTAACAAAGGAAACGCAGGGGCGGAGTGGTTTTCAAGTGACAGCTCCCCACCCACTGGCGGGTCACCAAATCAATGAGGGGATTCCCAGGCAGCGATTTTTGTTGATGAACTGCCAATCCGAGGTATCTTTAAATGCTGTAATAGTCATCAAGTCATATTTAGTATTGCTTTTGATATTGTTTTCACACTTCTGTTTCAGTTAATATAGAAAATTTTCAGTTCCATGTAATGTATGTTTGCACCCCTATTTGTGTGTGCATATATGTGTGTGGTGTGTGTGCATGCGGATACATGTGTGTGCATGTGTGTGTTGACACGTGTGTGCACATGTGTAGAACCTTCTACTGCCCTCGCTCACTCCACTCCAGCCACACCGGTCTCCGTGCTGCACCGTGAATGTGCTGCACGTGCTGGTGCTGCTGCCCCAGGACCTTTGACCTCTCAGCCCCAGGGTCCAGAGCAGTCCCCCCAGGTGTCTCTCGCTCTCGCCTCCTTCGGGTCTTTGCTCCACACCAGCTCCCAGCGAGGCTGCCCCGATCACAGCCGCCCGCAGCGGCGCTGGGGCTCGCTCTGCGCCCGGCCGCTTGGTTGTTCTCCGCGGCCCTTGTGAGCACTTGGCCCGCCCTAAGTGTCCTTTCTCTCACTGTCCGTGTCCCCGTGAGAAAAGAGTTTCCTGAGGGCAGGTGTGCTGGTGAGTGTTCCACTCACTGCTGTGTGCCCGGCATCTGGTAGGCACCAAAAAGTATCTGTTCAACACACACACGCACGCACGCACACGCACGCACTCCTGCTGTCGCGTCTACGAGTTATGGTTTTAAGAGTTTCAAACATTGAAACAAATGACCACACAGTCCCTGCCCACCACTTCTGGGCCACCGGATACAGGCCCTTCCTGACTGGGGTGGGGGGGCGGAGCTTCAGTGCTCTGGGCCCCTGTCCACTGGAACCTGCTGGGCAGGCAGTGGCGGGGAGGGCTTCCCTGCACGCGAGGCCGGTGTCACGACAGTGACCGCCGTTTCCCAGCCAGGCCACACCTGGTGCAGACTCAGCTCTCGCGTACACCGGCTGTGCGAGTGTCCAGTCAGCTCACCCCCCGAGCTGCAGTCTCCTCATCTGAACAGTGAGTGCAGTGATCACAACTGCCCTGCAGCATAGGAGGGAGGACGGAATGAACTAGCACTCGTAAAGCACCTAGTGCCAGGTATGTGCTCAGTGAATGTGAGCTATTCCTATGATGACGCTTCGGTTTGTCATCACTGTCATTGCATCATCACCATTATCACCATCATCGTCATCATCACCATGATTATTACTGCTGCCCTGAGCCATGGCCCAGTCCTTGACCCTGGGTGAGGTGGGCAGGCCCTCCCGCCCCACAGGCCAGGCCCAGACGGTGTCCAGGGACTCAGGTCATCTCTACACCCTCCCCTGATCGGTGGCTTCCGTCAGCCCATCCATCAACACAGGCACGCCTGCGTCCAACAGACTGTTCCCGGCAGCCCCCAGGTCAGGAGGTTTGCAGTGAAGCAAGACGTGGCCCTCAATGCCAAGGAGCTCACTGCGGAGCTCACTGGCAGACACGGCAAGAGGAAAACATCACACCGCAGAGACCGAGCTGGGGCAGGAACAGAGGAGGGGGCTCATGCCAGCCGGGGCCTCGGGCACTGGGCTGCACTGTGCAGAGCCTTGAAGAGTGAGCAAAGATCGGACAAGCCCGGGTGGGGAGAGGTGCTCCAGGCTGGGGCCGCAGCAGGTGCGGGGAGCAGACACCAAGGCGCCCAGTGGGGTGAGGTGAGCAAGGACGCAGGGGCTAAAGGACGGCTGGAGAGGTGTTTCAGAGAACCCGAAGCTCTCAGAAAGTAAGACAAAGGCCCTGAGCCTGGCTCAGCCAGACGGTACCGGCCAGTAACAGCAGACAGAGCCGGAACGAGAGGTGGCCATAAATGTTTCTTGAACAGAACTGAATGGATTTCATCATAAAATGACTTTGTTCTCACTTTCCATGCCTGACCCCTTGGCAGGTAGGAGAAAGAATGCAAGGTGACCGTGGCATCAGGGGCCAGAGAGAAGGCATCCTGGGACCCAAAGTCATTGCCATGACCGAGGAGATGCCCTTGTCCCTAGTGCTGCTCCCAGGCTCCTAAGACCCAGGCAATCAGACCTCACCCTTTATCAGAAGGAAAGATCAGGAGGCCTGTCCCTGGGTAATTGAATGCTGAACTGAGCCCCTCCCACCCACCCAGACAGCTGGCACAGCCAGGGCTGGCCGCACATACCCTCGAAGTTCCTGGACACGCCCCTTCCTCGGGTCAGCCAACCCCAGTGAGTGCAGGAGGCCGGGACCTAGGAAGCTACCCCTGTTGTAGAGAAGGCAGGTCCGCTGTGCGGACCCCCACCCCTTGAAGGGGAGCATGGCTCAGGGCAGAGCACGCACAGCACGGGTAGCATCCGGCCAACACCCCACGGCGCGAACAGCCTCCGTTCATTGAGTAATCGGTGGCCACACGCCTGCGCCTTACCTGTATTTAAGCTTTGCGACAACACGAGGGAGGGTGTCGTTATCATCCCCGTGTCCGTGGGTGACGCGACGGAGACACCCAGTCCCTCAGGTGTCAGTGGCGGGGTCAGGCTGATGAGGAAGCCCTTTCTCACTACCACTCTGCTATTTGCCTCCCCCAGCGCGGGCCAGAGGAGAGGAAGCCGGGCCCCGCGGGTGACAGGGCCTGCGTCCAGCCCCTCCCGGGTGCGGCCCGCATTCTGCCACAGTGTCTGTCTGCCCCACCGCCTGGGGTTGCCAGATAAAATACAGGATGTCGAGTTGAATTTCAGATGAACAACAAACCGTTTTGTTTAACGTAAGTATTTTTGTTTGTTTGCTGCCAACTCTGGAAGCAGGTGGCCTGACCTCAGCACCTTCGCAGACGCCCCTCCCCCTCGATCTTTGGGTCCCCACCCTCAGTTCACAAACTTCACCCCCCAGCACATGTCAGTCCCCAGACGGGTTCCACCTGTCTCTCCCGGGGGCCTTAGGGACTCGGGTAAAGAATCGACCCCTGCCCGGAGCCCGCTCTGTGGGAAGGGAATGATCGTTTCCCCGTGGCAGACAGGGAAACCGAGGCAGAGGGGTGACGCCGCCTGCCCAAGGGCACACGGCTAACCGCCAGCGGAGCTGGATTCCCGGCCCCTACCCCCCCACCCCGGGTCAGCGTCCTCCCAAGCCAGGGGCCCTCTGCCGGCCCCCGCAGCCCTGCACGGAGGAGGAACAAGCAGGAAGCCCAGGGCACGGTACCTGTGGCAGCCTGTGGAGGGGGGTCGGAGGAAGCCATCAGACAAAGTCCAGCTCAGACCGGCACCAACCCAGCTGCTCGCCTGTGAAGAGAAGGCCAGAAACCTAATTAGACCACATCCAAGGCCAGAGCTTCAGCAGCGGAGAGGGGTGGGTCACCGGCTCACGACCTGTGCATTCCAGCCTGCGGCTCCCACACGGCCTCCCCGGCAGCTCCGGGAGCACAGGGCGGCAGAAAGGGCCCAGCCCCCAGCCGTCACAAATCATTAACCCAGAAAACCCAGCAGCTGCGGAGCAGTAACCCCGTCTTTCCAGAAAGCCCTGCCCCCACTGACCTTCCTTCTGCCCAGTGCCAAGGACCCTCAGGAGTCTGAGGGGTCCGGCCAGACTACCCTTCTGCCCTGTCCCTTCTGACTTTCGGCTGAAGCTGCAGCCCCAGAGGCCAGGGTCACGCTCAGCACCGGGTTCCAGAAGTCGTATCATGCCTGACCTGTCACAGAGCGGGCCGGGCACTTCCTCCGGGCACTTCCTCCTCCCAGGCGCCCAATAGCCACAGGCTCCCCTGAGCCCTGCTGAAGGTAAGACCATGTGCTCTCCGGCTCTCCCTGTCCTGCCCCGTGGGGTTGACCAGCTGGCAAGGGGCCACCCGCCCATGGCATATGGGTATAAGGAAAGGAAAGGGCTGCAGAGTGGCAGACAGCCCAAGATAAGGGCGGAATCTCAACCGCGCAGGGCGAGGAGCTGGCCTCGCCGCGGGAACTCGTGCAACCAAGAAGCCAGTGCGTCTGGTGGGCTGCCCGGGCCCTGGAGCCAACCTTGCCAGGCATCATCCCTTGCCGAGCAGTGAGGGAAAGAGCTCCCCCCACTCCCCACTCGGCACCCCCGATTCGGAACTAGGGGCTGTCCTTCCAGAGGGCCCCGTGGAGGAGGGGAGCACCCCGGAGGGACAGCACCCAGCCCTCCCGTCTAATCAGCCCTGCCACAGACTGGCTGCCTGCCCGCTTTCCTTTCCGCTCCTACAGCCTGCGCTTGTTAATTGGCTTCCTAAATAAAGACAGAGGGCATGTGAATGGCAATTAATTAATAACAGCGAACAGGCACGGAGCGCCTGCTTTATCTCAAAACACGAAGCCCTTTACAAATAATGGTAACACACAGGACTGCACGTGATAAACGAGAACGTGAGGCCCAGGGCAGTTAAGCAAGTTGCCCAAGATCACACAGCTGGGAAGTGGCAGAGCCAGGGTTTGAACCCAGGCCACAGGCATCAGAGTCTGTGCTCCTTAAGTAACCACCACGCTCTAGTGCCTCTCAAAATCCAAACAGGACAGAGGGTGTGCCATGAAAAGGAGGGTTACCTCTCACACCTGACCCCGGTCACCCTAGTCCCCAGCAGTTACTGCTGTGACGGTTTCCCTATGGCTCCTGCAGAACTCTCCCGGTACCCGGCTTGCGTGCCTGGTCGACGGCTTGTTGTGTGCAGGACAGAGCGCCCCGCCCCGCGGTGCTACAACCACCGTTTCTGCCGAAGGACCTCACTGACCATTTCAGAACAGCACACAGACAGGAGTCTCCCTCCTGTGCACATTTTTTAATGTACCACAATTTCTTTAACGTCTCTAGCAGTGGGAGGTTGTTTTGACGTTTTGTAAGCAACGTAACAACTAACACCCTCCCTAACAGGCGGAGGGATGGGCGAACCCAGGGCACATTCCTAGAAACGGATCCGCCAGGGTCAGTTCTGGTCGAGCGCAAACTGCTCTCCGCCCAGCGTGTGGCTGTGCCTTTTAGCCCCACCCTGAACACTCCCGGGACTCGCATTTTCTCTCCAGCAAAGGGTTTGGGGAAGCAAGCTAAAACATTGGCATGCAGCTGCCCAGCAGCCCTCTGGGGGGCCGCCCCCTCTCCCTGTGGGCGGGCTCCTTCAGAAGCACTCAGGGCGGCGTGGGGAGAGGCAGACCCATTTTCCAGGAGGAAGAAGGGAGGCGCCTCGCCCGGGTTCTGTGCAAACTGTTCCTTAAGTGCGCATTTTCTGACTTTGCAGGAACTCGGGATCCCCGCTCCAGGCCAGAGTCTGCTCTCCTTCCCTCTCTCCACCCACTTCAGGGCTGATTCCCACCCTCCGCTGCAAGCCCAGGGCTTCCCACAGGACGGAAGAGAGACGCTGACCTTCATACAGCCTGAGCTTTGTTTGCATTACTCCATCACAGACGAGGAAACCCAGGCTACGGAGAGTCAGGCTTCGCCCCAGGTCACAGAGGCAGGGGAACAGGGTGAAACTACCAGGAATGAATGGGGGGAGGGGGGCCACTGACCCCGAACCTCAGTCTCACACCTTTGATCGCACCGCCTCCCTGGACTTTGGGGCTGGAAGCTGGGGGGAGTGCAGGGCAGGTTATAAGCTAATCTGGGCCAGCGGGGTCCTGGGGCAAGGACACAGACCTGCAGGCCCCGTGCACGTCCACAGGCCTGTGGCCACCATCTGCCTGTAGTCTCACCAGACGTGGGCAAGGGAGTGGGGACGGCTCAGGGACGTACATTGCCACCACTAGAGACCCTCGTGGTGCAACTCTCTGGAGAGAGCTTGGGCTACCTGATCCCACCTGCGTCCGCCACTCAGTAGCCCGACACCTTGGGTGAGTTGTTTAACCCCCATCTCCAGGGGGAGTGAACTGAAGTTCACTCACTGGCATATGGAGATTACAAACTACCCACCGCAGAGGGTTATTAAGGAAGTTCCAAGTAAAAAGGTGTAAAAATCTTGGCAGGGTCCCTGGGACACACTGGTCTATAGCTGTCATTGACACGCAGGCACACGATCACCACAGCTCCGCCTTGGGAGTCAGAGACCCCAGCTGGAGTCTCGGGTCTGCTGGAATGGGGGCTGAGACTCAGCATCCTTGTCTGTAAAATGGGGTTCTGCTACCTGCCGCACAGGACTCCCAGCAGCATACCTGAGGTCAACCACCAAGTCCCCGACAGGCTCAGTCAGCGCCAAGATACCCGTCCTTGATGTCCCTCAAAATGCGGGACAGCAAATGGGACTCTGTGTCTGGACTCCACACCCCAGAGTGTAAGGGCCCCCACCAGGGGCTCACAGAGAGACCCTGAGATCCCAGAGTTTGAAGCTGGGGGGACCCTGGGGCCGTGGCCTGGGGCAGCCGGGTCCACCTGCAGGCGGGGTTCTGCCTCGTCCTCTCTGTGAACTTGACCTCTCCTCGGCCTCTCGGGTGCCCTGGGCCTTGTCTCTGTAAAGCAGAGGCAGCACCTGCCCAGCCGATCCCAGGGGCTGCTACATGCAAAGGGCCAGGCCATAGGTGAGGAAGCGCTAAGAGAACTGGAGGATGTTTCCTTTTCCTGTTTCACGTCTCCCTTGAGCTATGCACAGTCTGGAAGCTTCTGAGGTGGGAGCCCGAGCCCAAGGAAATGTGTTGTGAAGCCCCTGAAATGAGCCTCTCTCAGAAAAGCGATCCAGAACCTTCCGGCCATGAGCATCTCTGGCAAAAGCAGCAGCCGGCTGAAAACCAAACGTGACCCAGCACGCGGGGGTTTCTGACTCCATTGTATTTATTTCTTAATACACATCATTTCATTACAAAAAAAATATTTTTAAAAAGGCAACATTCTAAGAAACCCAAAATTTACTACCAATACGAATTCCCGTGAGTTCGCCATGTGCTACCACACACGAGTCAGGAAATGAAAGAAACCGTTAAATATTTAGAAACATTTGACGTCAGAAGCCCTAAAATCGAACTGTATATAGCAGCCCCTCAAAAAGCGGCAACCTGTACTTTTCAAGAAGTATTTTCTCTACAGAGGATCTTATCAGCTATGCAGAAATCTGTCGTTTTTATCCCAAAGCGGATCCTGAGCTGCAGTGGAAGCCCCGTTCTTAGCCAAACAACCTCTGAGAGCACACACACGCCCCACACACCCGGTGGCAGGTCGGCCGTTTGGGCTCCGTCCCGCCCTCCGGCCGGTGTCCTTGGAGCCTGCCCACCTGCCAGGGCCCATCTCCCGGCCTCACTCTCGCCCGGGCAGGGTGCGTGCCCACCTCCTTCCCGAGGATCTCCTTTGGCGGCGGGCTGCTCTCTGGTCCTGCGGTCGCCTCTCTTTGGCTGACTGCTCAGGCCACGCTTCACACAATTTTTTTTTTTTTGCAGTATCTCTCAGGGAGAAACCAGGATGCTCACTTTTCACCTTCGGGCCACGTTCAAAGCGGAACAGCAAGGCGGACGGGAACTTTGGGGAGCGCTGGGATCTCCTCCCTTTCCTGTCTGACCGCCTGTGGGAGGGAGGCTGTCTCTCCTCTCCCTGGCATGGCGGGCTCTGCGCTTTCTTGCCACGTCTTCGAACATCGACGTTTCCTTTGCAGACTCGGTCTTCCATCTCACCGGATGTTTCTCGGGGAATTCGGGAAAACTGACGGAGGAGTCCGGGTGTTTCTTCGTGTGTCCCTTCAGGCAGGTCGGCACGAAGAAGGCAGACGAGGACATCCTGGCCCCTAGCTTGCTGGGGTCCCCTTTACCCGCAGTGACTGACGGCATCTACCTGGTGGTAGGGTTTCACTCCGAGTCCCACCATGCAGCCGGGTCTGACCGAGATGCTTCCGGCGCTGGGCTCCGGCCCACGCTGGTTTTCTCTGACTCTGTTTTAAAAGTGCACGGCCCTGGCCAGTGCAGCTCAGCTGGCTGGAGCATCGCCCCGTGGACCAAAAGGTTGTAGGTTTGATTCCCAGTCAGGGAACACGCCTAGACTGCAAATTCAGTTCCCACTGGGGTTGTGTGGGTGTTTCTCTCTCACATTGATGCCCCCCCCTCTCTCTCTCTCTCTCTCTCTCTCTCTCTCTCTCTCCCTCTTCCTCTCTCCCTCTCCCCCCTCTCTCCCCTCCCCTCCCTTCCCCTCTCTCTAAAAGCAATAAGCATGTCCTCAGGTGAGGATTAAGTGCACAGAGGACCACACCCAAGGAAGGACCACTGGTGAAGTCAGGGGAATAAATCTCATTTTGGCTCTTTGTCCCACAGCTGGGGAATATTCTATTGAGATCCTCCCCTAAGACTTCCCCTAAACTCTCAGCCTT